CAAAATAAAAACTTAGTTTTCAAACTTCAATTGTTCATAACTTTTTTATTAACAACGAGCGACGGCTAAAATTTACGGATTGGTACTCAGGAAGGTGTCCTTGACAACATATGTCAAGCTCATTGAAATCGGAGGGGGGTGACCTTTTCTGTACATTTACCCCGACGTCTTGTCCAGAGACTTAAGTTTCTCAGATCTTTTAAGTTTCTCAGATCCATTTAAAAATTCAATCTTCGCAAAGCTATTACCCAAAGAACGCGCTGTCAACGACTTCTATCATTGTCTAAAACTCTAAAGTTTTTTTCACGGCCTTCAGAGAGATGTCGCGCTAAATTAATATCTAGTAGAGACACTGGTTTAAAACTTTTGGGTTTGATCCATATCTGGCACTGAATGGTTGATATTGCATGTAATAAAATCACATAGGTATTAAATTTCACAAAAAAACAATATGTAATACGAGAGATATTTTCATCTGTCAAAAAAATTCACGATTACGAGCGACAAAAACTCTGTATATAACGTATATACGGGGTGTTTGGTAATTGCCGTCTCTCACCGCTCGTAGGTAGGTAGAAAGGGTTATTCTAAGACGAAAAGTCCTGTACCACTTTTGAAGATTCGCAATAATTAACGAGGTATTAATTAATAAAGATCCGCTAATCAGTGTGCATATACGAAACGTATATATATAGAAACTAAACAATATATATATAATCTCGTAATTTAATAAAAAAAAAGAAACCTTATTTCGCGTAATTTAATCAAAATAATCGCGTGTTGCATTCATCGAAGTTCAGTGAATGCGAAATATGGAGAATCGAAATTCATTGAATGCGAGACGCGAAGACTCTTGAATTTTTTTGAATGAGATCAATTCAAATTGAGTTTCGCGCTCTCTCTCTCTCTTGCAAATTCGAAAGAATCATACAAGTTTCACCGATAAAAACTGTTCATTTTCATTGAACAACCGAATGAACAATCTGCAGTGAATCAAACGACGATATCGTTTTATTTCTGATATTCGTATTTAACAAGAGCAAATTTGCTTAGATCGAATAGATCGAATAGACGAACGAGCGGTTGTGAAAAATAAATCTTTGCAAGCAAGAAAAATAGACGCGCTGCAAAATTTCTGTTTAATACAATTATGAAGAGAACTTCTGTTTGACTATGCATGAGCGACAATTTAATTAAAATTGATTGGCGAACGAGAGAAGCGTTATAATATCGTATAAAATTCATTTAAATATTCCTTAGCGCGCAGTTAGTATCATCAATGTGCAATATTTTTACTCAGAACGAACATAATTATTGGTACTGTAATTTTGTCGTAATAAATATAACGCAAAGATACACAGGCACGAAATTAACGCATCCTAATTTTCCACGAGCAAATGCAATTTAGAAGTTCACTGTTAAACGAATATTTCGTGAACGTGAGTAATTTGATACGTTATTAAAACACACTCATCACGTATATATAATATATATCTTTACATATCTGTGCGTATACATATCTCTATGTTGTAGATAAATCTTCCGCTTGATACACTGCGCGACGTTATTTCCACAGTCTGTACAGGTACAAAGTCTGTATTTCAATTTTCTTCTTCGTTTTAATGTCAGAAACACTTTTTACTCACAAGATGGTAAAACGACGCGATTGTAAAAAATTCGAACGGCGTCATTGACCAACTGACACGATCCGAACGGAGAACATAAACATAATCACTTAAATCACTTATAAATCCGCGAACTTTCTGTGAGATTACGATGACGTACTTCGTATCGCGTGCGAATCAAAACTACATCACGTAGTCTCGGCAAACTCGCGGAAGTAACTTAAATAATTATTTTCGCGTATTGTGCTCGTCGTTCGCGTCGTATCAATCGAAAATCGTGGTGTGTGTGTTGCGTCGCCATTTCTGTTAACTTTGTGTTGAGCCAGACGCAACTCCAAATTTCACAAATTTGGAGTCGCGTCTGGCGTTGTGCCACGCGCTAAGTAAAATAATTAATTAATTACTGATTTTTGCGTTTATAATCTCGATATCAAAATAAATGTCGGAATAATAAAATATTTTGTAAAAATATCCGAATGATAAAATAATTAAAAACCAGCGAAAAAAATAGCGATCGATCGCGGATCCGAATGGAGTTCTTGGACTTGGACGTGTTGTTTCCTTCGGGGGCTGTCAAGGTCAAGGTTGTAGGTCCGCCCCGGACGAAACAAACTCGTACGATAAGTTTGCCGTAATTAATTCGACATTCAATTTACACGCGGTACAAAAGACATCACATCGTAATCTCGAAAAGCTCGCGAAAGTGAGTAGTTTTGCTTTTGTTGTTCGCGTATTGCCGATCGGTTGGTCAAAAACGTTTGTTACGGCGTAATTGGACACTAGTTTGTGTTTTGGGAGTGCTTCCATTCTTCGATGTTATGTATTCGCGTTATTATTTGCATTTTGTGAATAAAATGTTTCGAACGATGAAGTGATAAATTTCGGCTACAAACTTGATGTCGGAAAAGCCAAAATGGAAAAGCGCAGTATATCACGTGAACGACATGCAACAATCACACAGATATGTGTGAATGGATTTATAAGTATTTTTATATACGAATGTTTCAAAATTGCAAAATAAAAATTTAAAAATGGAAAAAATCATGACTAATTATTGAAATCATTAATTGCATTCTCCAAATATCGAATAATTACTCGTTCGAGTAATCATCATTAGTTTTTGTGCGTTTCTATAATTTTTTTTAAATAAAATTAAAAAAACGGAGAATCCAATAACGAGATATTTATGGAAAACGAGAAATTCATTGAAATAAATAAATGGAGCATCTCATTAAGAAAATCTATTTAAGTCGGTTTGCGGTAAGAAAACAGCAACTCGGGTGTATACAATCGATTTTTTTCTTACGTCACATCATAGCGAATAGCAATTATAGTGAACGCGCGCGAGTGAACAACGGACGGAATATTTCATTGTAAGTATTTTCTTTGCAATGTGAAAGTAGTCGACGTTAAAACGTCGGATTCATAAGTCGCGAGACGCGCGGTTTTAAATTATATCATATGTCGTGTGCGTCAAACAGAGCGTCAAAGCGTATAATATCATCTTTTCTCGACACGTATGTAAATTGTGTAAGCTGTGTATTTTGTCAGTTTGATAAGTCGATTGACAAAGTGGAAATTTGCCGGTTAATTGAAATTGACAACTCACCCTTTTGGAAGAGTGCTTGTGGTAGCGGTGAGGATGCAGCATGCAAACGTAACGGTCGACTGCCATGCAGACGAGAATAACGGCGCTCTGTTGAGTCAAAGCGCCCCGGAGAAGTGCCTGGAACAGTAAAAGTTTTCGAAAGAGCAAACGAGATTCTTCGGGTGTCGTTCTCTCTCTCTCTCTCTCTCTCTCTCTCTCTCTCTCTCTCTCTCGGTCTTTTTAAAATAAAATAACAACTTATAACTCTCTCGCGGAGAAGCGCACGGCTCGACGACGAGACGTCGTGCCGGATAAGCGACAAGTTTTGATGAGTCGAGAGAAGCAACTTGCACTCGTAACTGCATCTGTTTTAGTTTCTTATCAAATCAAAAAAAAAAAAAAAAAAAAAAAAAAATTAAAATGTAATCTTACAAATTGTGGCGCTTGTTAGCGAAGAGAGAAAAATGTTTTCCGGACGAACGTA